GCATCGATTCTTTCGTAAAATTGAAGCAATTTGGAAATCAAAATAGAATAGAATTTAACATTAGTACACAATATAAAATATATATTGAAAATTATAACAAGATAGTTACGGCTAATAGATGTATTATATTTTAATTAGTAGATGTTATCGAAGCGAGAATTGGCATTTAGAGGGCATATAGAATCTATTAAATCTAATATAAGAGAGTTAATTATATTGAACTTGCTTATTTATTAAGTGCGTTAGATAATCTATTAATTAAAAATACATTTAGAGAAGTCTACGGTTTTTACTGGCTTATCGAACAAACGAATACGAATGGACCCTAGACCATTGCTGACTGATTGCCCCTGGAAGTCAGCTTCTTATAGAAACACAGCTTCCCTATCATCAAATGTCACGGCACCCCACTGTTGAAAATGTTTTCGAGTTGTTTCTTTAATTTGGGTGTTATGTTGTTTTTAGTGTATTGCATCAGCCTGCATAATTGCTGTCTAATGTCATTTATTTGTGTTTCTATTCTTCTCTGCCAGGTAGGCTTGTGATAGAATTGTTTTGTGTCTGTCTGTGATTGTATTTTCATTCCACGGTGTGTCACTATTGTGATTACCCCAGCATAAACTAATGTATGAATGTCTAAGCGTGTAGAAATTGAATGAATGTAGTGTGGTAGCAAGTGAGTGTTTACATAATTTAGTGTTTTTCCTACTACCTTGACGTGTTGATTTTTTGGTATTCGTGGTCTTTGTGTGGGATCTATGCCTGTATATTTAGTGAGTGTTTCCTGAAATATAAGTGAGAGTGTATTAACTAATTCTATGTCTATGTTATCAGTGGTGGATGAGGAAGTGTCTGTAGTATCATTAGTGGTAGTTGTTTTGTGTGTGTGTGTGTGTGTTTGTGCGTGCGTGCGTGCGTGCGTTGTAATCAGTGCTTGTTGCTGGATTATCCTGACAAGTTATGTGATCTTCATTAATAATGTTAAATGCTTCTGTCTGTTGACGTATTTGATCAGCAACCTGTTGTTTGATAAGTTCAAGTGTTGTTTGTGGGATAAGGTTGTTGTGTATAATTGTTCTTTTTTGATCAACAATCCTTTGTTCAGTGACAGTGAGGTGAAGATATTGTTGTGTGAATCTGTGGTGTAGTTGTTGTCTGTATGCTGTCAGGTTTGTTTAGAGTTTTGTGATGGTGTAGTAAGTATGGATGAAAAACTCATTCATTTCTATTGTCCATTTCATTCATTGGCATTGTTTTCCAGCCTTTGTGGTCTGTGAATGCATTGCCACAGAAACACCAAGGCTAGGTTGATTCCTCACATCTGTTGAGGACATTGCAGTAGCCATACTTGGGCAGGTGCTGCTTTCACCACCGGTAATCAAGGGAGATTGTAGCCTATTTTACAAATGTGAACCTCTGCCTAACCCATGAACATGAATCTTATTAACCTGGGTGACATCTGAGCTGGTATCACACTTAGATCTGGTTACTACCATGATAAATATCTCCACAGAATGTGGGTGTGTGGTCACTCTTAGCTTCACTTCTCCCCATAGACCTTACTGGCATGGGTGTCCCTACCAAAAGTTTGTGCTCCAGCCTGCATTGCCCTACAGATCAGTAAACTTACTGGGCTCTCCCAGTAAGTTTAGGTGGTGACCAGAGGAGAGTTATTATTATTATTACTACTCATATTTAAACCTTATAAAACAAGAGATTAAAAATTGAGATGTAATCAATTTAAAGCTGATGTAGGTTCGATCCTTCAAAATTTTAGTTTACTTTTTTTGTGTAACATTATTATTTTCATATCACATCTTTTTTTTCCATGGGCAGTAATGGACAAAAAATATTTTGTCCATTACTTCCCATGGAAAAAAAAAATGTGATATGAAAATAATGTAGCAAGTCACAGCATTTTATTTTTTCAATTGTTAATATTATGGACAATTTTGGCAAATGTCTGTTACACTTCAAGCATCATAATACCATCATACCTAAAAATAAATATGAAGAAAACTTTATTTAACAATATTAGAGTTAAATCTACTGAGGCTTGTGTTCAGTAAACAAGAAATGACATTGCAATTTTTAATCTTGTTTTATAAGCTTTAAACATGAGAAATAATAATAATATTAAGTAGTAACAACATGGTAAAATAATAATGTTACACAAAACAAAAGTAAACTAAAATTTTGAAGGATCGAACCTACATCAGCTAACTCTAGTGCATAGAGCCTTATTCACTCAGCCATTGCCACTCTTGGATATGTAACTTCCAAAGACTTATAAGCAAAACACTAAATTTTCAGAGGCCCATTTTTTAAAAATACTTAAAAAAGTGGGTCCTACTATTATTTGAACAAGAAGCTGTTTGTGTTTAAGGCTGCACATTAAACAAGTTTTGTTCAAATTGGAAACCCAAATGTCTGGCTATCTCCTTGTAAATGACAGTTTAACATGTTACTTTTGCTTTCCAGATGTCAAACTGATAAGGCTACCAGCACCTGTACCAGCACCTGCATTAATTAGTAAGGAAAACTGGAGGCAATAAATAATTTGAAGTGGCGAAAAAATTTAAAACTGGCGAAATGACAGCGATATTTTTAAATTTTCCAGAGAGACTCCTGCATAGGTATACATATATACAGAACGATTCAGTTACTATTCTAATTGAATCACGTTTGCACCATCTGGTAATCATTTTCACTTCATAGAATCAAACAGTTTATAAAGAAAATTTTACAACAGGAATTGCAAAATGATTTCAAATTTACCTGTATTGTACTTCAACGATATTATAATGAAACAACACTACGGGCAGATTTGCTGTACACCGTTACCAAAAATAATAAGAATATTGCAATTTATTTTTCACAACAGAGTTTACGAATACCAAAAAATTATATAACTTTAATTACCTTTAACAGACTTAATGCAGCTGCTTTTCCACGAGATAATTCTTGCATCAGATTTTGTCTTTCCTCTTCCATGTTCTTCTCCGTTAATTCTAATTGCGACTGTAATTTGTTGACTTTTTCTTGATGTTCATTTTCTAATTTGGTAATTTTTTCATTCTGTTCCTTAACTAAAACATATAAAAGAGAAAATTAAAAAAAATAGACATATTATTTATATACAAGGAAATAAAGTTCTTATTTAAGGAACTAAAATTAGAATCTATTCAAAATGTTTTCAGACTACTGTTTGATAAGCTTTGACTATACACATGTAAAATGAAAAGCATTCCTACTGCATAATGAACTTACCTTATTACTTCAAATTTAAGCTACATTTTTTATTCCAGTTTTTAAAATGTAAAATTAGGGTGAGGCTTACATTCAAAGCAAATATTTTAACTTCTTATCTCTGCCAATCTCCCACTTCCTAACAATCAGGTCTTTGTTTTGTGCTATATGCATGTGCATAGTATTACAATTGTTGATAACAGTTTGGTTGTTCCCCATTCGCACTTTTCTGATTTAATCCAGTTGATGTTTGATAGCAGCTGTGTAAAATCAAAGTTTTTATTTTTTATTACCCATACTCACTAATAATGGAAAAACAGTTTACATATGATGCTGAATTCAAAAGAATAGTTATATTGTGCACTGAAAGAAACTGGAAATCATGCAGCCAGTAAAAGATTTACAATTGACGAAAAGAATGTGTCATTGGAGAGCCACGAAGAAAAGTTATTTCAGTGTAAAACAGACAAAAAAAAATATCACTCAGGGCCTAAAAAAAGAAAGATACCCTGCAATTTACAAAAATCACATATATAAATCATTTTTATTTTTTTTTCTAATTTTAAACTCCTATTGTAGGCTTAAACTTGAAGTAATACAGTAGTATATGGATCCAGCCCTCTGTACAGGTAACATTTATTTTAGTTGTGTATGGTAACATTTAGGTGTCAGGAGTGGGGTGAAGCCAACTTCCAGGCTTTCGACAGGCTAGTCCGCGATAGGTAGGCTCAGACAAGTTTGTCTGCCAGAAACAGGTTTCTGAGAAATTTTTGTTAGGTGTAGATAGCTCAAATTTATACTAGACAGACAATTCTAGGATATATTAGTGGAACCATGGAAGGCGAAAATCCGAGAGCAGTGTTAGGGACTTTAGGGAGTTTCGTTCCCCTCTTACCTGTGTTTTCTGGTGATGTAGCAGGAATTTGAAGTATCCAAATTTTTCGAAATTGTCTGGATGGTCAAAAGTACAAATGTTAGCGGTAGCAAAACTGAGACTGATGGGAATAGCAAGAGAATTCGTCCAGAAAGATAAGCGAATTAAGGACATCGAAGATTTTGACAAATTTCAGCATGGTATGCTAGAGCGTTTTGAAAAACTTCCTTTCCCCATTAAACTGAATAGGTTCTAAGCCTGCGTACAGAGTCCAGATGAGGATGTTCAGACATATGCTGCTAGACTTCAAGCATTAGCTATGGAAATGAAAATTATGCCAGAACCAGGTGCAAATGAAACAGAAACAGCTCTTATTAAAAAGGTTCTAGGGAAAGAGTTTGACGAGAGGTTAAAAGTGTAATTTTTAAATGGGATCAATATATGACTCAGACAGCAAACCATGACCCGAGAACCTGCAACCTTTGATGACGCATTACAGGCTGCAATTAGCGAAGAAACCATTGACAAACTCATCGATCATCATCAAGGGAGTATTTGAACTATACATCGAGAATCAGAACCATGGAAATCCTCCAGACAGAAGGAAAGGGTTCACTGCCCCTTCAGAAGACAATCTAGGAAAGTTAGAAGAGATTGACGTCCTTAGGAAAAAAATTGGCAAATCTGGAAAGAAGACGTTGGAACGTTAGATCAACTGAGCATATCCAACAAATCCGCCAATCCGATGCCTCAGTGGAAGAGGAGAATTGGTGGAAAGGCATCATCTGAACCACAAGAAGTCAAATTAAGAAGAAACCCATCATCTTAGGATATGTGAATAACATTCCAGTCAAATTTAGAGTCAAGAATCTTAAAACAAAAATTGACCTACTTTGAGACATGTGATGCGTAAAGAAGTTTCCCTAGAGAAGACTATTATGCTGGGAAAAGTGGAAGGTAGAAGGAAGAGGGGAAGGCAACGGATAAGATGGATAGAAGAAATAGAAAAAGTCACAGAAATGAAGCTGGATGAGCTACGAGAGNTTTCGTGGAACACTTGATGTAGGTTTGCAGAACACTGGTTAAGAACCACTAATGCTAAGCATTGGAGCTAGATGATGTAGGTTCGAACCATCATTTAGTTAGTTAATTTTATGTGTAAGTTTATTATTTTATTATTATTATTGTTGGGTTTAGTGGGTTACACTGATGGTTGTCTACTTTGACAGACCAGAGTCAAGGCATAGCAATCAAACCAAAACAAAACTAAAATTAAATAAGTGTGTTAGTGTCTGTGTTCAGGAATTTCTTAACAATATGGCATGGATTCTATATAATGGCCTTCTGTAGGGGGATGTATGTGTTTCTACTCAATTCTAATGTGACCAGGCTTTTGTGTAGTGTGTGGTATGACATCTGTGGAGGAGAGAATGACAGGTATAATAAGCATCCTATCTATCCTCCACAGATGTATTATTTCCTGGGCGAGTCCTGTGTACTTGCTGACTTTTTCAGTGCATATATTTTGTGTATTGTAAGTGTTTGGAATCTATAATATATGTGATTTTATTGTGTTTGGTCTGTTGGGGTAAATTGTTTTATCTGTGATTATGACTCTGTCATAGCACATTTTGTGTGTGTTGTTTTCCAATACTGTCTGTGGAATGTATTTTAGTATGGTTCATGGATGTCTAATAATTTGTTTCTTTGTAAGCTCTTGGTGTATTATATCTGTTACTTGATTATGTCTGTGTAAATAATCTGTATGTGCCAAGAGTAATGTGTTGTACCCAGAAGTAATGTGTTGTATAGTTTCTGGCATAATGTGACATTTTCTGCAAGTGTCAATTGTGAAAGTTGTATCTTTGAATATGTGTTTTCTGTAGAATATGTTTTTAGTATTTATGACCTGATCCTGTATGGCAATCACGAATCCTTCTGTCTCCCCAAAGAGGCATTCTTGAGCTAACTAGCTCTTTGACGTAGTTTTGTCAACAAAATCCTGGACCAGGTCATAAGGATGCCTGCCATGGAGTGCCTTTTGAGCCCACGATTGCTTGATGGTATCTATTCATTTTATATGTTGTGTCATGTCTGTATGACGTAAGTGTAAGTTTAATGGTGTGTTATTTGAGTCTGCTAGAGTTACTGCTTTATGTAACTGTGACGTTTCTTGTTTTTTGTAGAAAAACTCTCGCAGTGACTGTATTTGTTTGTAGTGAAGGTTTACTATATCAATCAGGCCATGTCTGCCATCCTTACGTGGAAGGGTTAATCTTTCTATGGCGGATTTAGGATGATGTTGTTTATGCTTAGTAAGTGTTGTTCTTGTTTTCCTTTGGAGTTGCTCGAGATCTGTGTGAGTCCAATGTATAACTTCAAAAGAGTATGCGAGTACTGGGATGACATATGCATTTATTGCTTTACCCATGTGTTTTGCATTTAACTGTGTTCTGAGAATAGCATTTAACCTACTTTGATTCTTTAATCAATCTTTGCTTTATTTGTGTATGTTCTGTTAGTTTAGCCTGTTGGAATGCTAAATACTTGTATAAATGGCAACATTATTGAATCCATGAAACTACTCGTCCATGGATTCAATAATGTTGCCATTTCCAAGTGCAAAATCTTCTTACTTCAGGATTCCTTTTTCTATGTGAAGTGTTTTGCAATTATCTAGGCCAAAATCCATTTGTATGTCCTTGGTGTATGAATGTGTGATTTGTAGGAGTTGATGAAGTTGTTTTTGTGTGGATGCATATTATGTCATCCATGTACATGAAATGTGACAGTGTAAACTGTGTTGTTTTTTCATGTCTGATATTGTAGCCATATTGTGTGTTATGTGTTTAGCTAGTTCCTGGTGCAGTGATGTAAACTTTTTGTACCAGAAATCGTGAATGTTGTCTACATCAGGTGTCTTCCAGTTGTGTGTTCTGTTAACAGTATATTGAACATCGTGTATGTTTATTTCAGCACAGGGCATAGTTGCTATGTTGTGCAAGTTTTTGTTCTCCTCCTTGATCCAGCCTGCATCAGCATTGTGTGTGATAGCACTGGACCAAAGAGAAGACCAATATGTTGTGAGTTTTTCTTCTGTTGGTGTGCCAGTGTACTGTGCACAGTGTTTGTTTTGTTACCAATTTGTCTGTAAAAGAGATTTTTGTTGTTTGTAAATAATTTATTTTGTTGTTTTTGTAGTGTACATGTTTTGTATCATTTGGGTCTACATGCTTTGACTGCCAGTTTTTCTTTTAGTGTATCAATGTATTCTGTAGTGTGTTTTGTGATGTTCATGTTTGTGTGTGTTTTGATTTTCTTGAAAATCAGTGGCGTGCCGTCATTAGAAGCGTTGAAAGCGCTGCTTCCCTTGTATTCTCTAAAAAATAAATAAATATTAATTTTAATTATATGAAAATAATCGCACAATATTTTATTATAACCGCATTATGTATCTTATTACAAATTTCTATACTACACGTGGAAAAAAAAATTGCTATTGTATATTAGAATATTAGTGGCGGAGTGGAATCTCCTGTATTTTCAGATTACGAAAAGCCAGATTTGCGCATGCGCTTTACAGAGCACCAACCTCACCCGGTTTAGCCGGTGGAAGCCTACGACCTTGGGTGAAAGCTGCACACATATAAAGATTACAATTCTATCAAGGACCGGTTCTGGGCTGTTAGCCGCCTGCCC